AAAAGTTTTTTTAAGTTGTAAGGTTTATTATGTAAGCAAATAAATTTAAGTATTTCACTTTGTATCAGTTAATTTGTTTTATTTAATATTTTATTTCAATCAGCAAAAATCTACCTTCTCACCCTTCCAACCCCTCTCCCCCATTTAGAACAAAAGAAAAACAAAGTCCATTAAACATATTTATAAAGTGGCTGTCTAAATGTGATTTGAAGGGAGACAAGAATAGTTACATCTAGCATCTCCTCTACCAGTCGTTCCGAAAGGGAGAGATCTAATTCTTGCCAGCAGTGAATGGTCACTCTGCTCTCCTTGGAGAGGGAGGGGGTGACCATCAGGCAAGAATTAATATATTTACTCCCTTAAATATTGTTAGTCTAGGAGAAATAACCTTAAGGTGCAAACTAAATCCTTATCACTATTTATTAATGTGGAAAGGAGTTCCAAGCTATATATCCTAGGTTTGACCTCCTTCCCACCAAATATCAAGTCCACAATGAACACACACAGAATATATACCAAACAATACTGATTGAAGGAGGGACCAATTGAAGAGGTAGAATTTAGGGACCAAGAGAGAGTCCTAGATCTCACCCAAGGGGAAAATTCCCTGAAGTTTCTAGTGTAGTGGACCTCTGAAATCATGATTGGTCATCATGCTGATAAGAGTTCCTAATTCTTTCAAAGTTGTTTGTCTTTATCTTATTTTTGTAATTGTGTAAATTATCATGGTTCTGTTCACTTTACTGTGCATCAATTCAAGCAAATCTTCCCAGGTTTCTCTGAAACCTTCTCCTTCATAATTTCTTTTATCACAGTAGTATTTCATCCCATTTGTGTATTATAACTTGTTCATCCATTTTCCAATTTATGGGCATCTGCTCAGATTCCTAATTCTTTGCTGCCTCAAAAAGAGCTATAAATATTTTTGTACATCCTTAAAGTTTCTTTTTTTTTTGCTTTTTTTTCTTAAAGTTTCTTTTGCTTAAGACTAATCCTTCCCTTTATCTTTGTTTTTGATCAGTCATTTTTCAGTCATGTCTAACTCTTTGTGATCCCATTTGGGTTTTCTTGGCAGATTTACGGGAGTGGTTTTGCCATTTCTTTCACCAGGTCATTTTACAGATGAGGAAACTGAGGCAAACAGGGTTAAATGACTTGCCCAGGGTCACAAAGCTAACGTGTCTGTGATCAGATTTGAACTCAGTTCTTCCTGACTCTAGGTTTGCTAGGTGCTCTCCCTTAATCTACTCTCCCTCTAATTAGCCCTCTCCTCTTTTCCTCTTTCCCTTCTGTTTCCCTGTTTAGTGAAATGTATTTCTGTACCTAATTGTGTGCATGTGTATTCTTCTTTCTTTTGACTAGTTCAGATGAGAGTGGGGTTCACATCAGCTGTTCCTACTACCTCCTCCTGTTTGTATAGTTGTTTACTTATATACCCACAGATGATTTTCTCTAATTTTTCCCTTCTTCTCCCTTAAGACATTAATTTGTCTCTGTTAATTTGCATGTTATACTTCCTGTTCCTCATCCATCTACCACTTCCGAGCTTTTACATTGTTGTTCAGTCATTTCAGTCATGTCTGACTCTTCATGACTCTTCATTTGGGTCATTTGGGGTTTTCTTGGCAGAGTGTGGTTTTGCCATTTCTTTCTCCAGCTCATTTTACAGATGAGGAAACTGAGGCAAGCAGGGTTCAGTGACATTCCCAAGGTCACACAGCTTGTCTGTGTCCAAGGCCAGATTTGAACTCAGGAAGAAGAGTCTTTTCGACTCCAGGCCAGGTCCTCTATCCACTGCGCCACCTAACTTTTTTGTCGGCTGTCCCTTATAACTGGAATATTATCCCTGTTCATCTCTGACCTTTACTATCTCTGTTTTTCTTCAAGACTCATCTCAAATGCCACCCTCTCTAGGGGTCCTTTCCAGATTTCCCCAATCACTACTACCTTCCTCTCTAAGGTTACCTTCCATCCACTCTATGTACCTGGTGTACCTATTTGTACAAATATTTCTCCTCCATTAGAACGTGAGCTCTTGTAGTGCAGGGATGAAGCTTGTTTCTTTGTATCTCTAGAGCCCATTGATGCGCCTTCCATGTAGTAATTGCTTTACACGACCTTGTGACTGATTAATGGATCCAAGAGCCCATCTACATGAACCAGTGCTAGAAAGAAATTCTTTTTATGACACCTCTGGCATCCAGTTTCCAGTTGAGAGCCTCCAATGATGGGGAACACACTACTTCCTGTGGCAGCCAATCCTACTCTGGGTGTGACCTTGGATAAGTCACTTAACCTACCAGAGCCTCAGTTTCCTCTTCAGTAGAATAGGCAGGTTGAACTAGATGACTTCTGAGGTCCCTTCCTGCTCTGGGGCTATGATCCTATGACAGCTTTTAATTGTTAAGAAATTTTTCCTTACATGAAACCTATAGCTGCCTTTCTACAACTTTAACTGTTTCTAGCTTCTTCTTTCTGGGGACAAACAGAACAAAACTAATACAAATTATAGTATTAATAGTAACTGGAATGTATAAAGCATATTTAGATTTTACAAGGTACTTTGTATTATCTCATTTGATCCTGACAACGACCTTGAAAGTAAATATAATACAAAGTAGAATAAGGCAAGTGCATAAGAGTTGTACAAACATATACTATGTATAATTCTTCAGAGGGAGAAGATTTCTCTTTTGTCCTGGGAAAGTAGGGAAGGTTTCACAGAAGAGGTGGCTTTTGATCTGGGACTTAGATGATTTGGATCATAACATGTAAAAACAGAGGGAATAGGACCATCTGTCATGGGGTCAGGAAACTATGAGAAATATTAGAAAAATGGTGAGCATGGTTAGGGGTACAGTTTGTGGTTTGGATTAGGGCTCAGTCTGTGACTGAGATTAGGAGTTAGTCGATGGTTGAGGACAGAACAAATTTATCTGACCCACTTGAAGATTAACCTTGTGACCTTCACCTCATTAAGACAAGGTTATACAGTGAAAGAATGATACACATGTTGTCAGAGGACCTATATTCAAATCTTGCCTCTGTCGCTACCACTGAGACCTTGGGCAAGACATTTAACTTCTCCAGGCCTGAGTTTCCTCATCTGCAAAATGAAGATGCTGAACTAAATGGCATTTGAGGTCCCTTTTTGGCTCTAGAGCTGTGATCCTATGACTCCTGGATCCCAAACTTGAACTTGGGGGAAAGGAACTATTTGGTGGGCCGAATTTGTTTTGACAATTTACATTCACCAGTAATTGTGAAGCCTCTCTTGAACTGACAGGAGAATTGACATAGGAATAATAAGTAAATTTTAGACATGATCATAAGATCATTTGAAATTAAAAGAACTTTCATCAATCAACAAACATTTATTAAGCCGCTGTTATATGCAAGGAACTGTGCTAAGTGCAGATCTCAGAGATCATCTACAGTTTTCAGACTGGGCAGATAGGAGTCACAGTCAGAGGTGAGGTTTTGCTTTCTGTAATGCTGTTGCTCCTGTAATAATCCAAAAGGGTGGCGGGAAATATTTGCATTGCTCTCTGGGAGGGCCCCCAAGGCCTTTCCAACCCTGTCCCTCTGTGCCCCTCTGAGGGGCTGGAAGGACAAAAGGTATTGCTGATGTTCTCCTATGTTAATTTACTGTATTGATGGGTTTTATTTACATCCACTTATTTAAAATGAGACCTTAGTCCAAATGAATGAGAATTTAGATAAATGTGGTGCCATATGGGCTGATTTGTTTAGCTATATATGACTAAATAGTAGCGTGTGGAATGCAGTGTGAGTCACACCGTGTGCATATTCTGCTCACACAGGATTTGAATGCAGACAAGGAGCTGCATCCAAACAGATTTCATTTTCTCAGTTCCTTCCCCTGAAAAATAATAAACTGCAACATTGGAAAAAAGAGTATTTCTTTAGTTATCTCCATAAGCCCTTGCCAAATATGCATATGATAATATATTTTCCATCTTGCCTAGCCAGCACTTAAGCACAGCATTATAACACTGTACCATCAAGCAGCCTGTGAGATGAGCAGGGGAAACATGAGGGTTTAGAGTAATTTAACTCTTTAAGGAATATTTTGGGGCTACAGAAGGGAATGTGCTGAAGAAGAGGCCAGCCCTTCTTTATTCTGTGTTGTTTCTTTGGATGCATATTTCAAGGAAGAGACTGACAGAGCCCAGGGATCCACTGTGATTAGTAAAAGTACATTTCCACATAGATATTTTTTATGGCCAACCATAAATGTCAATGGGTAGTGACTGTTCCCAGCCAAAAGCCTTCTATGTTGTCATTTAATTTGGGATATACACATTTGGAGCAGTACAGGTGCATTTGGTAATAACACTCAGCTCTTTCCATCTCCTGAGTACTTTGCAAACATTAACTAATAATGCATTGTGGGCTGCCTTTGGGGAAGAGCAAACCCTTCCAGAGCCATGAACCCCATTATCCACTTTTTGAGATGGTTAAACATTTTCTCCCTTCCCTATGCTGAAGGAGAATGGCCAATATAGAAGGGGTTTGCAGAACTCTCTTGGGGCAGAAGGCCTAGGATCGGCCAGCAGAGGGACGGGAAATTCTTCTTCCACCTTTCTTTCTCTTTTTCAGGTTTCTCCTTCTAAGTATCACCTGTTCATTTCTCCTCTTCCTTTTCCCTTTCTTTTCTTTTCTCTTTTAATATTTCCTGCTCTCCCTGGCTTTCTTCTCTCTCATCTCCCTTATCTCTCTCTCTCCCCCCCCCCGTTCTTTCTTCTTTTCTCTCCTGGAGGTAAGGGGGGATCCTAAAATGCGGTGTCCGTGTGTATGTAATATTAGTTGTAGTGTGTGTGTGTTTGTGTGAGTGTGCGTGCGTGCGTGCGTGTGTTTGGGAGGCGGTGCGGTGCGGGCCGGGCGCGGGACTGTCTCTTTAAATCACCCTCCTCCCGGGCCACCTCCCTCCTCTTCTCTCCTCCTCCCGCCGCGGTGCAGCCGCCGGTGCTGGGCGAGGTCGGAGAAAGTCCATGTGAGGAGGGAGCCAGCGGAAATCACTTCCTGCTGCCGCCGCCGCCGCCGCAGCGGCCGGGACCGACTCGCTGGGGAGTGAAGGGGAGACGGAGGAAGGAAAGGACCAGGCTAGGGGTGGGGGGACGCGGCTGCCACTGCAGGCCACGGTGAAGCCCCTGGCCCCGGAGTCCCCGAGCTGGCGTCCCGGGTGCGTAAAGCTGCCTGCAGGTAAGACCTGGGGCCACCAACTTCTGTGCGTTCGCGTCAGTGCGGCCAGCTGTGGGGGAAGGGCGGAGGGGGGGGAACAGATCAACTTGTTTACATCTGGAGGGGGCTCCCACCCCCTTTCCTGTTCCAGCTGTGCCCCGAGAAGGGACTACGATGGTGGGGAAGTCTGGGTCCCGACACTTCCTTTACATTCCTTCCCAACCGCAGCTGTCCCACCTTCCCCATCCCCCGCTCCCATAGGCTTAGACCCTCTAGAACCACGGTGTGGACGGGAGGAGTGAGCGCCCGCAGGCCCTTTCCAGCTGTGTTCCCGCAGTGGGAGAACGAGGTGTCTGTCCCCTTCACCAGCTGTGCCGTGGTAAAGGTGTGTGTGTGAGAGGAGGGGGGGTGGCTGAATGCCCTCCAGATGTGCCCTGGGAAGGGAATTCTTTTTCTCTTCCAGCTGTGCATGACACCCCCCCAACACACACACACATACACGCTCATGCATTCCTCACTCCACTTGTGCTCCCTTTAACTGTTTCCTCAGAAAGTGGAGGGTTTCTAGTTTTTAGCCCCCTTTTCTCTAAGGGTTTTTTCTTTCCCCTATTTAGCCTCTAGCCTCTTGCTTGCTATGCCTAGGGGATGATTGTATGCCTCACTCTTCCCACAAACCCCTACTTAGCTAGGTCCATTCGCAATTTTATTCTCAAATTGTGGAAAACTACACTGTTTGTGCACAACTTATCTAGAGTAGGGGAAGGGGCGGGAAGTGGGGGGGAGTGATTCAGGTTTAGTTCCTCTCTGCACTATTGCAGGGGATTAAACAGCCTACTGGGTTTGCTGTTGGCTCCTGGCTCCCTGGAATCATCTCCCCCCCTTCTTTTTTTAAATTTTTGACTACTCAGACATTGAATATTCTAGTCAAGTCTGATTAGATCTCACAGCTTTTCTAGTCCCTTTATCACTGCGAGATGGGCTGGGGGAGGGGTGATTTAATCAGTTGGGGAAACTGTTGCTGCTAACCAGTTATCCACCTTCAGACTAGACCTTCCCTATTCTCTATGTATTTTTATTCTTTTTGGATTTCTTGAGAAAGTTTAAATAATACCTATAGTTCCTGCATTTGCTAAGGATGGAAGGAGTAAATGCCCTTGAGGACAATGTCTGACTAGCTAAGACTGAATTATTGGCTTGTTTTTCATTAAAATGTTGCTCTGGGATGGGGCGAAAGAGTAGAAGGGAAAGTAGAAGAGGGTGTCCCCATCTTGTTAAATGTTTCCTGGACTTGTTTAAAGTCTGACAGTGTCTTTTGTTTATGGAAGGGAGAGAGGGAGAGAGAGAGAGAGCATGACTGGTCTAGGGGTGTGCTTCTTAAAAAGTCATCAATTCCCGCAGTGAGGGCCGGACTTAAGCCAGATGCATTCCGGCAGCAGTGAAGACCAAATCCTGTCAGATGCAGGCTATTGCCTTCTCTGCTGCAGGATCTGGGACTGTCTTTATTGAATCTGTGTTCTCTGCCCTAGGGTTTTCTTTCACTAGTTGGGCTGTGGGGAACAGGCATCTGCAAATAAACCCTTTGGAATCTGCCTAGGAAGTCCTGATGCTTGTGGGATGTTAAGTTGAGTAGGCCCAGGACGGCTGGCATGTTTTCCAGCAGAGGAGGCATTGGGAGAAAAGCAGCTTGCAGGGATTGGGGATCTGAGCCTAGTGATTGGAAAGAATCCCTCCCCTTCTCCTCTTACCATTGTGCACCTATAAATGTCTTTGTCTTCAGACTGGGGGAGTCCTAAAAGTTCTAACCCTGAGTGTTAAGCACTTTCCCTGAGGAATGTGCAGAGATGATGATAGAATGGACACCTCCATTCTGGGGCCTGTACATAAGGTCCAGAGCAGCCTCCCTCTCTAGCCAGAGCTGTACCTCTTTCTGTGGCCTTTGGAAGCCATACCGAGCCCAGCTAATAACTGCATATTCCTGCAGCTGAGCTCTCTGCTGTGCATTGGCTTAGGTGGGCAGCTAGCTTAGATGACAGGCCAGTAAGACCAAGGTCATGTTTGATTTTTTTTAGGGGGGGAAGGGAGGTTGGTGTTTAGTGTCACTCTTCCCATTGGTCACAGAATAAGTTAGGGATGTACACCTTAATTGTAGAGCAGTAGTTTAAACAGTTTATGTAAATGACAAGTCTCCCTTTTTAAAATTTTTTATTTTTTTAAAAGCTCACAGCCAACTTTTTCCTAGATCTGTGTGGTGGGTATTCTATTACTGACTTCTAACCAATATGCACCCAGTTTGTATTAAAAATTTTAAATGTAAAAATTAAATAAATACAGATGATCAATGTGTATGTTATAAGGCAATGGAGAAGGGGAGGAGGGGTAGTGGTAGTAACTGAATGCTTAATTATCTGCTATTTTAGATAATCCCCTAAACTGAGCTGGCATAAATGTTTTAGAGAGTCTTCTATGGTGCTGGACCTGGGCTAAGGTGAAGTCATGCTGATGGCCAATGATAACAAAATAAACACACATAGTACTTAATACTTTTTTGAGATGATGTATATTGATTGCTTTGCAAACCTTAAAGCTATATATAAACATCAACTTTTATCATTATCAAGAGAAGCAGCTTTTCCATAGTGAAAAGAGAGCTGACTTTGGAGCCAGTTCAATGCCGGTGGCTTATGCTGTCTGGGTGACCCTAAGCAAGTCATTTAACTGCTGCTTTAGGTAACTCTCTTAAGACTAAGTTACAGAGAATGTGCCAACCGACAATGGTTGAGCAAGTTCTTCCCCCAGAAACTCCCAGCACTAATTAAATCAGGTCTAGTCCCTATCCTATTCTTTGTATCATTTCATTTGATCCTCACTACAACTCTGATTTAAGTGTTACAGACACTTGTATAGAAGAGCAAACTGTCAAGGAATCCAACAGAAATGAAAACTCAGGGGATGGGGAAGAACTGAAGGGGGGTGGACATGTGGACATGGGAAGAATTAATTAACTGGTCAGTGGCTTGTTCCTCAAATGAATAATCCACCCCTCTAGTTCATTCCACAATGATAGACTAGAAAGGCATGAGATCTAATCAGACTGGACCAAAATACTCCAGTCTATCCAAGGATTTAAAAGGGGGTCTCAAGAGGTTAACTGACCTGCCTGCCGCAAATATTAGGGCCACACAAATTAGGAAGTTCATTAATATATACCAGGGGTAGGATTTAAACCCTGGTCTTGTGACTTGAGACTGTGATAGAGCAGGGGTGTCAAACATACAGCCCAAGACATTCCTGAGTCCTGAATCATATTAAAATGTAATTAGGAAATATTTAACAAAATTAAAGTACAATAAAACATAGATTATATCACATTTTAAAAACCAAGTTGATATGCAGCCCACAGGCATTATGTATGGTTTAAAGGCCCCCAGTTTTTATTTGTATCTGACACCACTGTTGTAGAGGACAAAACATGCTTTCTTGCTATGGGAATGTTAATTTGCCCCCAGGCTTCCGAAGTCCCTGGTGTTAGGGTTATAAGGTTTCATGTCGGGTGGAATCTTTTTGTACCTGTTCATTATTTCAATCTTCAGTTCATTTCTGTGATAAAGTGGAGAGAGCACTGAATATGGAACTGGAGGGACTGACTTCTAATCCTCCTAGTTTTTCTCCCTTGTGACTTTGGACAAGTCATTTTTATTTCTGAGCCTTGGTTTCTTCATAGATAAAATGAGGGGAATTGGTCTAATGAATTCAAAGGCCTCTAAATCAATCTGTGATCCTATTATCTTTTAAAGTCCATTCAATCTCTAAATTCAATATTCCTAGATTCCTTCCTAGTCCTTTGTTCCCATGTAAAGTTCACAGAAAAAAGGAGTAAACAGTCATTTTAGATTTAGACAATAGGTTTTTGGGACTGTGGGTTTGGAGGAGAGAGAGGGGTGGGGATGGGGTTATGTATTGCACAATGGGGAAAAGGGATGGCTTTTGTGGTGTGATTTGCTTAAAGCCAACCAGAAAGAAAACATTAGAGGAAGTGGCAGCCTTGTGGTGTTTTAAATGCTATACTATGTTGCAGAGGGGTTTTAAATACACAGTAACAATGGAACTTTGTTACCCTTGTAACAAAGTGGGTTCATAGACTGATTTTATCTGCAGTCTGAACACCAAAGGCATTTTTTCTGGGAGCCTGGAGGACTCCAGTGATAGGGATGCTTCCTGATAGGCTCAAGGTCATTGACTTCTTGGAGGAAGCTGAGTAAAGAACCCACCCTGGTGCCTTGTTTCCATCCCTCTGATACCACTAGAAACACATTCCAAATCTAGTCACCCAGTTGGCTTGTACCACTGGATACTGTGGGTTTTTTAAGTTGCAGAAGCTAAGGGAGGCATACCTAAACCTTAAGATGAAACAAACAACTGGTATCAGATTTGGGTGGAAGTGACCTTAACCTATCCTAGCCCAAACTAATTTAAATTCAATGAGCACTCACTTAATGCCTGCTGTGTGCAGACTTTTTAGGGGGAGGGCTGAAGAAAAGTGTAGGTAAGATTTGGTCCTTGCTCTCATGAGCAAGAATTTCTTAGGGGGGAACAAATAACTACTGGGCAGAGAACCTTTTCCCCCCCTCACCCCACTATAGAACACATAAGTATTTTGCAAGGTCCCATCTGCCTGGGTTCCATATCACAACTACCAGTCCCTCTGATTGGAGGGTAGACTCATGAACTCTTAAAACCTCCATTTAAGGTGGGAGCTTGGCTCAAAACATCTTATTTTTCACCTGGCTGCTCTATTTAGGGACTTCTGACTCTTTTTTTCATCATGTCCCCGGTGGGGTACCTTCCCTTCAGCCTCATTTGCCTTTTGTGCGTTGTCTTCCACTAAATTGTAAGCTTCTTAAGGTCAGGGACTGATTTTCTTTTTTCTTATTTGTATTTCTAGCACTTAGCATAGTGCCTGGCACTTAGTAGGTACTTGATACATGTTTATTGACTGACAGGAGTATGCCTGGAAAGTGTAT